AACTATTCTTATTGCCTTTAGAAAAGTAAACCACATTACTGGTCAGTTAAAAACAACCACATTAGTAAAAATCATACGAGGAAGGTTCTTTAGATTCCTACTCTATAAATATTTGAGATAGTACGTGTAAAAAAGTAGAGGAAATAACATAATAGTTATTTGATAGGCATGCCTACACAACACTTTTTTAAGAGTGCATGGCTCACAGATGTAACATGTAAAAAGACTAAGAAAATAGAATGATTACCTTTGAGATATGTACACCAAGATTACGATGAACACCAGAACATTCTATGCAAACGAGAACACCAAGATTTAATGATGCCCAATCTGGCTCTGGGGCACCACAATCAGCACACTTATCATTCCCACATACTCGTCGTAGCATGTCGATTGTCTTTTCACTTTTTAAAGAAGACCGTTGCTGTTGTGAGCTTCTCAATGGGCGGTCAGAATGTGCAGTAGGAAGACTCCTCTCAGATGCAAGTTCTTCGACTCCAGTGTGATCAAAATCAGAACTCTCAAATGAACTACTCTCACTGGCTGAACGACGATGGCTTCCCATGGGACTAGCAGGCAGAAACTGAAAAGGAATTGGACAAAAATCATCAAAGCGACTATGAAAATCAATGGCATCATAATCATGCAAAACTTCACAATAATTACCCTCTCAGGAGCCTGAGAGCTAAGTAATGAAGCAATAACCCCTGTTATCTTCTCAATCCAATCCATTTGATCAAGTGCACTCTCTGCCTGCACTGACAAGCATAAATAAATATCATTGCAGGAACCCCTATATACAAATAACCATCACATATTCGCCATAACATAAAATTAAATCCAAGCTCACAAGGGACAGCTACACTGAATCGAACCTGCAAAGTATAGTTCTTTGTCGGTGAAATGATCCTGAAACAAAACCTCAGATCTGACTGGTCAGCATCAACTTTGATAGTTGATGTAAGAAGATTCACTGTGTGATGAGCAACAGATTTCTCATCGTGCACTCCACCATGATAATGAGAAGAAAGCCACCGACTCAGAAGTCCAGAACCAAGTTCAGAACTATTCCTCTGACCAGAAAGTTGGCTACCAGACCCCTACAAGTTATAGACAAACACAGTAACAAAACATTGATATTAAAAATCAAGCCCGGGACAAACTTTAAGCCTTCTGCATCCTAACTTCTTTCTTGTAAAAATTACTTACAGATGGTTTACTGCATTGTTTTCGATAGTAATAAAGCATTCCTCGGCTATCAAGGACAAAAAACCTTCTTTTCCAGTCACCCCTCAAGTTCGAGGAACGTTTTGAGAGATAACCTTG